ATCATTCAGATCGAGATAAGCATAAAGCCTTCCTCTCTCACACATCTACGGTTTCAGAAGGGATTCGGGTGATTTCGAAATGTCAGCATCATGGCAGATTCGCGTGCGTCTCTCCGCCAAAATAAAACCAAAACTGCCATGGAAAATGGCAATAATGCGATATAAAACCAGCAAAACCGCAAGATCAGCGCCGGTATTAACCTGGAAACAAGCCAGTGGAAAAAAGCACAATTTATTTTTTTTCCCATTTAACATCAAGTGAAATAAGGGCGGGAACAGCGAAAGGGTTGGGCTTCCATGGATTACAAATGCCCTTTTAGCTTACTCATTTTCCTATTAGCTTTAGCTACCTGGTTAAGTATGTATGTAAGATAGAAGGATACTAACTTTACGGTGTGAAACTTGAAGAACATAATAGGATAGGTAAAAGTTCAGTTCTTTAGGAAGAATATATTCTTGATCGTTATTAACAGCAGTGCTGATTTTCCTTAGTTTCTTGGTAAATCAACAAAGTTCTTTCTCAAAGTATATTTTCTAACATTTTTAAGAGTCTAATACTTAGACAAATCATATAACAAAGCTTAAGTACAATCCCTAAAGAGCTCCCCTGTAGCAATTATCCGATTTCAGAAAATCACCTCAACTCTAGCAACCCTAGCATTTTGTATAGAAAGAATAAGCCACATACGACTTGGTCGTGGATCGCTCCACAAGCTGAAGGGCGGTATGGCGGGCGGAGGTTGCGACTGACGTGCTCTGATTTTGTATGATTTTCGCTCTCGCTAGATTTCTTTATAATTCTTCTGTATTTGTTGCATGTTTTGACATTTTTATAGCTTCGGCGTCGGCAGTGCGAATTTCTGCTTAGCTGCACATGGAAACAGGCACAGAGTGAGATACTGGATCTGGTCCAAACTGCAAGGCACTTTCAAAATGGCGAGCTGGCCCGTAAAAACATTGATGGGCATACGTCAAAATTGATGGCCAGGATGGGGCCTGCCTCGCCTCGGCCAGCTGCCTTATCGGGCCAACACGTTTTGTCTTTAAACGTTTTGCAGCTACCAACTCAGCTCTCATGGGGTCCGGGCCCCGAACTGGCGAGCACGGAACATGGGATGGCCATCCTCTGAAAGGCTGCTGGAAGGAACACCCATTTAACAAGTCAGCCCGTGCAGGCAAGACCATAAATATTGGCAATTTAACAGAGTCAACAGTATGGCACTCGACGGCACAACTTCCACTGGAGGACAGTGGGCTTTGGGCTGCTGAACGGGGGAAGGGGGACAGTGCGAAGGGGGGCCCTGGATTGGGGGTCCATAATACACCTTGTCGTACACGATCCTTATCTCTTGGAATTTCTCGTGCGTGTCTGGCGTGCCAAAAAATATAAAAATAAACCACCAAGAACCTACAGCAGCTAATTCAAAATCGTCGAATTCTGGGTTATCTATCTGCGATAATGATAAAGATTTCGGAAAAGAATGTTTTTAAAATTATTAAACATGCAACTAAAGTCAATGGTAAGAGTGTATCAGAAAATATGCATTTCTGAATTGAAATCATAACACAAAATCGGTGCAGAAAACTGTATTTGATAGCGTTATGATAACTCATTAAAATGTGTGCAAAAGTATGCAAAAATATTTTTTGAATAATTTAATGCTGGATTTAATGCAACCAAACACCGTTTTAATCCATATTTTTCGACACATTTGCAAATCATTTTTTAACTTTTCTTTATAACAATTGTATGATATTATTAATTTTCTGTTGAAATGAAATATTTAATAATTTAATTTGTTTCTTTGAGAAACCATATAATATAATTATACATTTAGAAACTAATTTGGGAGTCGGATAAAAAGCAGCACAAAGGCCACAGAACAACAATGATACCCTTGCTGGAACTTTGGCAAGCGATAGCCTGGTCAGGAGCTGTCGCTGTCGGTTGCCGACTTTGCCAACGGGAATGGAGACGGAGTACGCTTGAAAAATTAGCCGTGGAAATGCATGTTGTGGTTGTTCTTGTTGTTGTTGTTCCTGTTCTGGTTGTTCTTTTGTTGTAGTTGTTGTAGCTGTTTTGTTGGTGTTGTGGCATGTCGCCATTTCTCGTGGTGCGACTAATAAGCACAACAAGCTCATAAAATTTCGAAAGCTGCGCCGTCTGATTTTATTTCATTTTAAATTGTACACGCGCTTCGAGCATTTCCCTTGGCTTGGTGCTTGGTGATATTCGAATGGGATTCGGTATTTTCTGGTATCTGGGCGGAGTGTGTGATTTGTTTAGCATTTACACGCATCATTAGAGCTTGTTGTACAACGGCGACTTAATGATAAATTAATAACAATGCCAGAACATAAAAGACAAGCTTTCTATTCCGATGATGGCCATATAGACATTGACATTGGGCCCCACAGCGACAGCTCCAGCAACATGGCCCTGCCAGTAAAACGCCAAACAGCCAGGGACAAGAACGACAAAGACAAAGAGCCGTGTGGAGGGAGAAGCGTGCCAAGCCGAACTTGGGTCAACGGCTGGCGAGGCGTTTAACCCTGTAGTGGGTGGGGGTCACAAGAGCTCTGCATAGTCATTTCTAGTTTTTCAGATGGGAAATTCTCTTATATCGAGAAAGGGAAACCTTTGTGATAAACATCGTAATATTAAATAAACATAAAAATAAACTTTTATAATTTAAATATTTCTTTAGAATAAGAAGTCTCTTAAGAAATTCATTTAATACATTATTCATCTTTCAGTTAAAAAGAATCAAAATTTTTCAATAACTTTGAGCTCCTTAAGACGAACGTAATAAAAAGGGTTCTCTAAAACGTTCAAAATATAATGCATTTTTCATTCATTTGTTTTCTATTCTGCATTAAAATACCATTAAATATAATACATCCTTAAGTTTGTATAATTTCAGTTCAAGAAAATTAATTTTAAGCAGTTTCGTTATGGCATAGTTACATCTCCAATAAGGTCAAAGAACAAAGCTTCCCTAAGGGTTAATCGAAATCTCCAATCTTAACCTATCTGGCCTGTTAATTGATTGTTACATTCCCTTTATGTTTGTGTCTGTGGAGGTGTCTGGCGGTCAGCTTCCCCCGCAGTCCCCCAAGCTAATCCACCACTCCACCTTAGCCAGCTGCGATGCAGACGTGTTGTTTTTTATGATTGCCCATTTTTGACAATGAATAAAAATTATTATAGTGTCGCACGTTTTGGTGGCTGTAATTTAATTAAAATGATGTCGCGACGACCCGCATCACGGCGTGCTCCATGAGGGTATTCCCGGAATTTCCCCGCCACCCATACATGCCCCATACAGGTGACAAATGCTGGACAGTTTGGTTAAAGCAACTAATTTATAAAGATGCATTTGGGACCAAGAAAATCACAGCTGGGATAAATGGATGCCCGAGAAAAGTCAAACAAACCACTTGAGAAGTCAGGACTTTTCCCAATATTTGCGCTTGTATTTGTGGGGGAACGGAAGTGCGGCAAATACAGCTGGATTCGCTGGGCAAACAGAATGGAAATTTTCCCTATGGTTAATGAAACTGTTCTTGGTGGCCAGATGGCTGAGGACAGTGGAAGGTGGACGAGGATGAGCAGCCGGGAAAAACTTGTGCGGCTTCTGTGCCGTGAGCCTGTGAACCTGTTTGCATTAAAAACGAAAGAAGAAAAAACCGACTGAAACCATGAATGAACTGCAACTTGGACTTGGGCGGGCATTGTCACTGTCAATATATAGAAATGCACTCAAGGTAACTTCCTACTTGGCTCGTATCCGATTTCAGCCTAACCTCTTTTCCCCTGACAGATTATTCCACCCCGGACCACCGGACCGCCCTTCCACCTCCTCGGCTTAGCCGTCGTCCAATGTTATATTTAGCGGTCAGCACAAGAAAAACCCAAACAGAAATAGCAAACAAAATGGCTAACACACCAGCGAGGGATCTCGGAGAGGTCGGGGGACCCATGGAGTTCCAGTTCTCCGCTTGCGGTGTGGGAACCTTCAGTATTGATTGATTGAACAGCCGTTGTCCGGTGGTAAGGGGTCACCACCATAACTCTTGGCCGCACGAAGAGCGTTTTTTGGTGGAAGATTTCATGGCTTGAATTTTGATTATGTAATTATAGTTGAAAGTTCCTAATCAAAATAAAACAAGACCTAACTTACACATTCCAATTGGAATATAATTTTAAAAATTTGTCTCGAACATGGTTTTGATAGATAAATGTAGGAAATGTAGAAACATTTAGTTTACTTTGATTTGAAGTGTTTTAACATACCTACATATCCCGATGGGTGCTTAAGACCTCCTGAACTTAAGCCAGCAAGAAGTTTTATTAAAATCGTCTTGAATTATTTCGGTCTTCAATATCATGAATGAAGTTATCCTGCAGAAACAAAGGCTCCAGAGAATTCTTTTCCGATTTAAATGAAACTCCACAAAAATTTACAACCGTCAGTTGTGAAATAGTTTTTTACAGGACTCCACTCCCTCGACTCCCACTTACCCTTGGGACCACAGATTGATGACAAGATTTGTTGTGACAAGCACTAACTAGCGGTTTCTCACACACTTAAACCTCCCCATCCCCTTCCTCCTACCCCAATTAGCAGCAAGCAGCGAGGGGTGAGGCTTCCCCTCTAGGAAGCGGAAACAAATTATCGACACCTAAAAACAGAACAGCTCCTCGGGGTATCCTCTGGGTAATGAGCGGGGAAAGGGGAGACCCTGGCGTACGGGGAAATATTAATACAAATAATTAATTGTGTTAAGTAAACAATTTTCGTACTAAACGATGGGAGAACCTCGGGTAAGTGGTGCTATATAGCTTTACTTCCCACAGGTTTTGTGTTTCCCGCACTCCAAAAAGTGTCTTCGGTGTAATTTAACTCGGGAGCCCTGCGGAGAACGGAGGAGCGTCTTTCGCTGGCTTGCCGGCCATGTTTGAATTCGAGTCGCCAACATGTTTACATAAAACAGTCTAGGTTTTCGATTTTTAATTTTATATTCACATAATTCTTATTCTGCTGATTGGCCCAAAAAACATTGCCAGGAATGTAGTAATCGGAGAGACCTAGTCCTCCGCATAAGGCCTGTAACTGACAATCTGGCGGGCAACAATGTTGAGTATTTCGCGGGCGGCCATATCCTGACGGTCGTCCACAATTGCCGTAATTCTGGCGCATTCTTTCACGTAGTTCTCCAGTTCCCGCTGGTTGAGGGCCCTCCTCTGGGGTTCCTTGGACTGCAGGGCCTGGAGACACTGTCCAGTCATGTGTGCCAATTGAGATCTTGCTCCGCTAAAGGTCTCGTCGAGGTCGTAAAGTTCTAGCGGAGGCGCTGGCGGCTCGCTGAAAATGGGCGGAAACGTGGCCAACTGGAGGTTGGGCAGAGGAATCTCGAACTGCGGCTTGATTATCCTCAGCGGCTCGTACTTAACGTGCAATTGCTCGTAGGCATCGATTACCTCCTTGAGCAGGCGATTACTCAGGGCACAGAGCTTCATGTCGAACATCTGCTTGAAGTCCGTTGGCATCTCGGTTCCAATCGAGTCGATCAGACAAGCCTTGGGCATGTCGGCCAGAAAGGCTAGATCGGTAAAGTGCTTATTGTCGCTTAGCTGTGGAAGATACGGTATTCGGTGAAAACGCATGTTCTTTTAAATAAATTATGTATATAGTTAAACCAAAAAATAAGGAAAATTGTGACACATTAACCAAATCTACCCACCTCGACATCATTGAAATCCAAATGACTGTAGTTTATCTCGTCTCCGCCAATTAGCTTGAGCAAGTACTCGAAGATCGCATCGTTGGTCTTGTCCTGCAGATACTTGTCGTGCCAAATATAACCTGAGCCCAATGCAAGGATTTTCCCACCGTTCCCATTTGTGAAGTATCCTGCTAAGGGACGATTGAAGGGGTATACCACTGGACCTGTGGTCAGCAGGACATTCGCTGGTTCAGATACATTCAGGGTGGCGCCATAAGGGTACTGAAAGTGTATCTTGTACTTCTCATCACTGAAATCGTAGTCCACCTTTTCGATGTCCAACTTTAGAAGGTGTCGCCACATGGATTCGCACACAACGCCGCCACCCACAATGCATTCCTTGGGATGGAAGTTCTTGTAGTAGTGCGGTCGCACCACATTGTCCCCGTTTATGTAGATACCGTACTGCTCCAGGAAGAAGTTCACGTTGGTATTAAACTCCGGCTCTCCACCTTCCCCCAGGAGTACCAGAAGGCTGCCTCCCTGCACCTCCACATAGTGCTTTAACACCTCGAACTCATCCTCCGTAAAACGGTCCTGAGGCCCGGCGAGCACGAAAACTTTTACCCGGGCCAGCCGTTCCTTTTTGAGCTCTGCATCGTTTCTAAGGAAGAATTATATTTAATTTATTGTATAATTTTTTTACTCTCCAAGAATGGAATCCTTTTTAAATTGAAATCGTAATTTATCTTTATATTCTAGGATACTGACTGTTCTACGTTCCAATTGATCTTTAGCTTCCGGTGCATCATTTTGTAGTTATCTGATATTTGAAAGCGTTCATTTTTAGATGTATCAAAGCAGATTACCGGTTTATTAGACATATTTCCGTCGGTTTTAACAAAATTATTAATTGCTTCTTTTGTTTTGGCGGTTCGTTGCCCGGCAACGCCGTGGCGCCTCCTTGCGGGCTAAAAGAAAACGAGGCGTAACAACAATACGACAAGCGTTTTGCAACACTTACCTTATGTGATTGTTGCACTCTTTAGGGTGGCCGTTTCCTAAATATTATGATATATATTTTTCGTATTTTTAATGGCACAAACATATATACAGTTTTGAAAAAGTTAAAATTATAAGCTGTTCCCTAACTGAGCAAAAATTTAAAATAATAAGGACGATCCTGATGATCCTGAAGCAGTGACTAGGATATGACTTTATTATTTTAAAATTTTTCTGCTTTGTTAAATTTGTTTAAAGATTAAATTAATAAAATAACACATTTGTATTTGGTTTTTTATTTATTATCTATTTATTATTTATTTTTATCCTCTAAATTTGTGTATGGTATTTTCTTGGTATACTTTCGAATGGTATTAAAAGTTTATTTCAGAACCTCCGGTATTTTCTACTTTTCCGCGGTCACACTGTTCCTTAAGGGGTAAAAAATTACGAAATCTTGGTGTTCACCGTTTAAGATTGACTTGACCGAAATTTTCCCAAAACGAACAATGGCATCGATCTGTGGACGCATGGCGCTCCGTGCCGCCGCACGCCAAAATGTTACCTACACACCCGTGCGCTTCTGCAAAAGTAAGTGGAGAAAACTAGGGGTAAATCCCACGGATAGCTGCTTCTCGGTCACGTTCGCCAAATTGGTGGATTTGCAGGGCTGAAATTGCATAATTGAGGAGTGCAGGTGGGAAAACAACTAAGAGCTGGACTGCTCTCGCCTAGGAAGCTGCAGTTTTGGACCCCGAAAAAGTGCCATTGGAAAGTGCGAGGTTATGTAACAACTATGCGCAGGGAAATGTGTGACTTATGATCAGAGAGGGGGAGTGGTGGCACAGCATTGCGGAGTTTGCACCTCGACGAAGGCTGGTCGAGATTGCCCTCCCAAAGTGGTTTGTAGTATCCGAGGATCTGGATTGTTTTCGTCTGTTGTTTATGTAACCAACAGCGCCCACTCGCTTATCAATTTTTGAGCTAATCCCCCAATTCTCCTTTCTACGCCTTGCAGTGATGAACGATCCCTTGGAGCACGCCACTGGTATCGAGAAGCGCGAGCTGCTGCTTAAGGCTGCCGGCAACGATAATCCCTTCGACATGAAGGTCTTCAAGCGGGGCGCCGGCACTAAGGAGAACCCCAACCTGATTCCATCGGCCTTCGATGCCCGCATTGTGGGCTGCATCTGTAAGTATTCCAGAACTCAAGCTGCGGCCAGGATAATATCATGAAATATTAATTTTTAACCCTTGTAAAATTTATGAAATTTAGAACAAAACCGTCAAGAAATTCACGTTATAAATTCAGATTTCAAAAATTATGCATTCTAAAAACATTCAGTTTCCATAAAGGCTTACTAAACGACAATATTAATTATTAAATGGTTTTAATGAATTGACTATTAATGCAGTGATTAACTTATAAAGATAATATCAGATATAGTTCTTAAAAAGGCACTTTTTTTAAATTCTAGAAAGAGCAATTACTGGTGCTATTATCTCAACGCAAGCTTGATCACTCTCCCAGAATTCTTTTTAAACCAGCTTATTTTTTTTAACCCTAGGCGAAGAGGATCAGACCTACGTGCAATGGATGTGGCTGCAGAAGGGCAACCAAAAGCGTTGTGAGTGCGGTCACTGGTTCAAGCTGGTGGAGAAGGCAGCTGTTTAAAGTTATTATTAATTAATTCAATAAATTCAATAACAAAAACACAACCACTACTAAGCTAAAAGTCAATCCACTTAGCTGTCCAAATAAACAAACATCAACCCAAAAAACGAAACGTGAACATAGAAAAGAAATCGGGTGGCGCAGCTTCAATTTTCAGTTCTGCCATCCTAATTTCCTACGCAGCGGAGGCCAAATGCTTAATTATACACGAAACGCGAACAATAAAGGCAGCAAACTGATTTTGAGCTAAAATTAAAGGAATTAATTTGATACCTGCATATTAGGCATATATAGGACGTGGACTAAATAATTGGAATGAATCAAAGTTAAAATAAAATTGTAATTCCTAAGTAGGCGCCTGAACCAAAAATCACACATTTTAAAGCCTTAGAATTAGTTTGGTTTCACTCCTATGACTTGGAGGTAGAAATTACTCTACAATTGTATATTTCGAGATAAGCTGCTTAAAAATGTCATCGTACATTTCGCGTTTACTGAAGACTCCGGCCGCCTCCAAGCGCCTCATCTCCAATCTGACACAGCGCGATGGCAAGCTGAATTCTTTGTTGCGTCGCTTAGGATTGCAAGGGAAGGGGGGAAACGCGGCTGCTCCCGGACCGCGGCCCATATCCACAACTCAGGTGCAGAAATTCCGGTAAGTGGCGAGCAGAGCCATAAAAGACCCCTAATTCAGTTTGCAAAATCATCATCATTATCAGCGCTGATTGAGGACGAAGAACTAGTCACCGGTATTCAAAAGAGAGAAATGCTGTTGGCCAAGCAGGGCTGTGAGGATCCGTGGGGATTTACCAAAATCATTAGGCGCGGAACAGGAAGGGAGAACGACCCAACAGAGGTGCCATCTGCCTTTGATGCCCGTATAATTGGCTGCTTGTGCCTGGACGACCGTATGCCCAAGTGGATGTGGCTCGAAAAGGACGAGGGACCAAAGCGGTGCGAGTGCGGCCACTTTTTCGTGCTAAAGAAGGTGCCACACATCTAGATTAATCACAGAGCGCTGTACATGACACTAAGCACACTCCAAAAGATGCTAACCGGGCATTAAACATTGCATGATATTATCAAAACAAAGGCTTATATATATTTAGAAGTCGCAAAACTATCTTAGCGTATAGCCCGTTAAAAGGTACCCACTATTTCCGCTCATGTTTACTTCTGGATGGGTACGATTGGGAAGGATTTGGTACGTTCGCAGCCAGTTTGAGGTCAGGTGTAGACCCGTCACCTTGCCGGAGGTCTTCAACTCCATGAAGGTCTCTTGCAGCAGTTCCTTACAGGTGCTAAAAACCACCACTGGTCGAGATGGCTTGACATGGGGCAGCAAAGCTTGTAAGATGCTAGACGGATGCTCCTTGGCGGCCAGCACCAGACTGTCAAATTGGGCATGCATTAGGGCTGTAGCCCGCTTGTTCTCCAAATGCCAACGTGGAGGTCCTTTGGTTCCTAAAAAGAGTTCGAGCATTGTCAGTCTTACGAACGAATTTATTTAGATTTTACCTTCCCTACCATTTTTGGTATCCTCCAGTTTCGGCTTCTTCGTTTTCGGTTCTATCGTATCCGTCTGTTCTTCCGTCGGCGTCTCCGGTTGGGTTTCTTCACTTAGCTCCACGGGGGGAATATCCGAGATCTTGGACTCTTCTCCCTGGTAAAACTCCCTTAAAACTGAGTAAAGATTAACAGACACACATCGCTGTTGCTGTTCCAGGGGCAGTTTAAGCGCCAGAAGAGCCTGCTTCTGGGGCACATTCCCCGGATGCATATGCACAAGGGTGCCTTCAGTTCCAGCTCCTATTGAATTAAGCATGGCCGCTGGCAAAAGACCATTAGTGCCACTCTCGTAGAGCAGATAGCTGCCGAAACCGCACACGCCCGAGTAGGAGATGATTTGTGAAAGAGTATCCACTCGAATGCCCATTACCTTTTCCGAGTCCTGGCGGTAGAAGATGTCGAGCATTAGCCGGATCGTCGGCTGTCGGATCTGAACGAACTCAAAGTACTTCTTCTCCTTTTTTAGCAGGTATTTTTCCTGTGAATATTCGGTACGGTTGTGGAAGGTCTTGGAGTTCTCCACGAGCTTCTCAATTATCTTACTAGAGTCGTTGCACTCCTCGCGTAGTTGTGCGATGTCCTCTGGTTTTAGGGTCTGCGCTTCGCCGTCGTCGCAGATGTCCCGGTTATCCGCCCCACTGCTCGAGATTCCCAACACTTCCCGCGTGCTTCTCAGTTCCGTCTCGCTGCACAGCTCAAGAGTGTGCTGCCTCTGAGCTCCCCTTTTACCTGGTTTTGTCTCCTTAACGCACATCTTGAATGTGGACCCGTAGGGATGGTCCAAAAGAGACTTCAACTCAAGTGTCTCCTTGCCCAGAGTGGATGTTGTGTCCAAACTGCCGAATTTCTGCAGTTTCGTGTACTTTTGGCGCTGGATGACAATGTAGTCGCCGAGCTGGATCTTGGGGGTGGCCTCTTCGGTGGCCATGCTTGCCGGTCTATGTTATAATTCTTATAAACAACGTGTTTGAGTCAAATCAAACGAACAAACACAGCTGAAAGATGGATGAACGGGGTAGGAGGAGAGAAGACAATTCAGTGCTGGAAAGCGGCCAGACTGGCAGCCTTGCCACCTGTTGCATGTGTTCAGTTAAATTGACAATTTCTGCCTAAAATTGGTTTGAAAATTCCTAAACTATTTTTTTATATTAAATGTAAATATGTAATATGTACATACTTGAAAAACCTAATTATGTGATATTTTACCTGATCTGGCAGCTCTGCTACCTGTTGAGTAAAGTATAATGTTAATATGTTAAAACACAACTATTATTTAATGTTAGCTTATACATATATAAATGAACACAATTAATTTAATGGACTTATAAAACGTGTTAATACGAGCAGACATTTGATTGGAATACAATCAGAAAGCAACAACATCGCAAAGATTATATTTAATCTGAGATACAAACAAATCCAATACGAAATAATTGATTCATTATATATATATATTTCTTTTGAGATAAGATATTCTGGTTTTACTTTTTATGTAGTTACTAAGGCTGCTATTACCAAACATGATCGTAGTAAAGGGGTCACAGGTAACTCAGGTAACTCTAGTAACTCTAGTTTTAAAACTATTATAATTATTTACTTATCTGAGGTATGAGATAACAACTCCTTTCTTAAATTTAATCTTTTTTTCTTATATAAAAAAAGAATGAATTAAAAAAAAATTCAACTAATTGAAGTCTCGTCCCCATTACCAATTACGAAATAGTCGACTGCGCCCATGTGTGTTGGAACCCTTTAAAATCCCGCAAAGGTACGCCCATAAATAATAATTTCCGACTGTGTGGCAACCCTGTGTCCGATCGAGTACAGCTGATACGACTCGGTGATAATCTGGTGGGGTAGTGCGATAACGAGTACAAGAACGCGTGCCTTATGTGTATAACTATAACCTTTGATTCGATGCGATCTGTTCTGTAATCACAGTCGGCGCAGCCAGTTCTCCGGTCACTGCAGTTGGCTTCTTCGCGTGACTGCTAACTCCACGCGCACCGCCCGCTACTAGGACAAACTTACTTCGAAACCTAGAGTCGTGCTGTAACTGAAGTTGAAAATCAAACCTTCCCGCCCTCCTACCGGTTTAGCGTCCCCACAAAGAATAACTGACCGCGCAAGTTTTCGGATTTCAAGCATACGCCCCAATAACTGCTGTCGCCCGCATAACAAGAACCAGAAAGAAATCCGAACCAGAACAGTACAGCAGCAGCGCAGATATGGCGGAGGGTAAATCGGAGAAGTCGCCTTTTATCGGCAAGCAGCAAACTCCGGTGACGCTGAATCCTTCGTGGGAATCTAAGCTGCCGCCACACGAATCGAACGGCAAGGAGTCCACGTCAGTGATTGGAAAACTGGGCTTGGCGCCAAAGGACAAGTACCTAATTGTTTTCTTTATCTTTCTGCTACACGGCGTGGGCACACTGATGCCGTGGAATATGTTCATCACCGCGAAGTCCTACTTTGAAGACTTTAAGTTCGGTCCGAACAACACGGTAGCCACGGACGTGAACTACCGCACCCATTTCATGCAGAACATGGGCTTTGCCTCTCAGATCCCCAATCTGATATTCAACTGGCTAAACATCTTCGTTCATTTCGGTGGCGATTTGACAAGCCGGATAGTGTACAGCATCATATTTGAGATGGTTATCCTGCTGGTGACTATTGTGCTGGCCATGTTGGACTCCTCCCAGTGGCCAGGCATCTTCTTCTGGACCACCATGGTGTGCATTGTGCTATTGAACGTGTGCAACGGCATCTATCAGAACACTATTTATGGGATTGTAGCCTCACTGCCCATAAAATATACTGGCGCAGTGGTGCTGGGCTCCAATATCAGCGGCTGCTTCACCACCGCTATGGCCCTTATCTGCGGAGAGATCTTCTCATCCATGAGAACCTCGGCTATTTACTACTTCGTCACAGCCATCCTTGTACTGCTGCTCTGCTTTGACACCTACTTCGCCCTGCCCCTAAACAAGTTTTTCCGCCACTACGAAACTATCAGCCGTAGCAGCGAAAAGAAATCGGACTCCAAGCAGCAGCTAAATGTGCCCTACTGGCAGATCTTTAAGAAGGCTTCTCCACAGCTCTTCAACATCTTCCTTACCTTCTTCGTGACTTTGTCGGTTTTCCCGGCGATTCAGTCAAACGTGCACCGCTCTGAGGATTTTGTGATAGGCCAGAACTACTTCACTCTGGTAACCTGCTTCGCGACCTTCAACGTGTTTGCCATGCTGGGCAGTTTGACCACGTCCTGGGCTCAGTGGCCTGGGCCAAAGTTCCTGTGGGTGCCGGTAGTGTTACGGCTGGTGTTCATCCCTCTGTTCATCATGTGCAACTACGTTCCGCCGGACTCGGTACGTTCATTGACCGTCTATATCGAAAACGATTGGGTCTACTGGGGCATTGGAATATCAATGGCGTTCAGTTCTGGATATCTCAGCTCTCTGGGTATGATGTACGCTCCGCAAACGGTGCATGCCAAATACCAGACCACAGCCGGAATGTACGCAGCTGCCATGCTGATCACGGGCATCTTTTCAGGAGTACTGTTCTCGTATCTGGGACCCTACTTCGTCATTTAGCTTGCATTTCTCGTATGACACTTACTAACAATTGCCCATTTCATTGTTCATTTTATAACCCGTATTTGACCCATATAGAATTTAGTTTTGGGCTCAAGACCAGTTCTGGGACCTGGCCAGTTGGCTTCGTTTTAACCAAACATTTTGACATGTTTCATTTAATAAAGTTTTTCAATTTATATTTTAATACATGAACTGAAATTTTACTATATAAAGGTACAAATTTAATCAACAATATAGCTCCTATCCATGGGAAATTTGTGCCGACAAAACAGTAAAGGGAACTTCTATAGTCTCACAATTGGGTCCTAATTGATGTACATATATGTGTCAATTAGGCAGAGGTCTAACAAGTCAATGGAATATTTGGTTCGTTTTTATCACAGTTCATCCGTTTGAACGAAATAATAAAGTTTATTCTGTACTGGCACAAATATACACACGCAAAACATAATAAACATCTAATCAGTGCAGTCTTTGAATGCTCACCGAACACAACGAAAAATATAATTTAAATTTAAAATAAATTAAAAAAAGAACCGAAACACTGAATACCGTTCTAAGTGAATACAATTGTTCATGAAAAAGCTGCACACTAAAAATTAATGGTATCTTCAGGGAAAAAGTTATCTATCGTATTACAGCGCCTTACAAGTTGTATTATAGAAACCATCAAATCATTTAAAATTATATATGTAAGTACTCTCCAGAAAACTAACGATTATTTAGAAACAAATAAAATACAATATTTTATAGTAACACAGTTTGAATGACAATACAAATCTAAAGGCGTTATTTTAGCAAACAAATAAGAAGGAATTGTTACAAAAAAAAAAAGTATAAATTCAACATGTTATAAAAATAAGTTAATACTTCGTGCAATTTATCTACAAATTAATCATCATTACCAGGAAAATACAATTTTTTTCCAAAATACTTGGTATTTCAAAAGAGTAGTACCCCTCGCAAGGGTAGAGCAAACACATAATTTTGGTGTAGGTTTCAAAACTGATCAAATTGTTTGAGCATGACGCCGAAATCTTATTGGTAAACAAAATAGTACCCAAACGAACAGCGTTATCTGCTGAGGCACATAATTACCCTAGGGAGCATCTAGTAGCAGATAAGCATATCAGTTCCACTGTCACCTGGGTGACGTCTAGTACCTATTTACTGACTTACAAGGGCAAGCATGGAGGCAGGTCCGTTGATGATTTTGGGCGATCTCAAGGTTATTTCTTATCTCCGTCCTGCGGATCAGACAAGAAATACATGATCTTTAGCAGTTCGTTGAACTTTGGTGTGTCCCTGGGATGCCGTTTCTCAAGACCCGCAATCTGCTCGAGGGCCACTTCCACATCCACCACATTGCACAAGATCGACTGCAAGCGGCTAGGAAACTTCCGCGAGGATCGTTCAACAAGATTGCGTGTGGACTCCAGCATGGCTAGTTGATCCTGTGGGCTAACCTTGTGGTAGCTAACCACCAGCGTGGTCAATTGAGGCAGGCTCTCTGCTAGCGGAAAGCCATAGGCCTGGGCATCGGATAGTCCGAGGCGTTCCAGTCGTTTGCTGCCTTCTGCCCGCAGAATGGTCGACTCCACAGGATGTCGATTTGAGGTAAGGTCCAAGTGCTTAAGGGCCAGCTGATCCAGCAACTCTGCCAAGTACGAGAGTTCGACAGAGCACTCGGGCGCAACCAACGATTCTAGATTGGATAGACTACTGATGTGTTTACCAGTAATATAGGCACTGGAAACACTCAAACTGCGCAACTGGCGACAGCTTTTGGCTATTGTGCTGATCATGCCGTTATTCATACTCTCATCCGCTATGCATAGTTCCCGCAGATTACTATAATCTCTGCGAAGGTAGAAGGCCAATTCCGGTCTTTTCAGATGTCGACCCAAGTACGAATCAAAGGCCTTCTTGTGCACGTTCCAAATGTATAGTTCCTCCATTGCCGGACTTGTCAGCTCGAAGAAATATACGTAGTCCTCTTTACTAAGTGGCTCCAGAATTGAGTCGGATACGGAAACCTTCCGGTAGCGTGGTTTTCGCCACACAATAAGGCAGAGAAGCTCCTGGAACCGTGGCGCCAGTCGGGCCATCTTTATTTGCTCCACGAGGGGTAGAAACTCCAATATATTGCATACGCAATCGTCATTTAGCCTCTCCATTGCAAATAATTTTATGTCAAAAGATATTTTGTGATTTAACACGATTTCTGATGAAATTATTTACATATGTATGTTGTCGTTTTCAAATCTTTTTTAGCCAACAGCTGACAGTAACCGTTCATCGATGTTTGCTCGATAGAACGAAAAAGTACTGCACGGATACTTCTCGGTCAGAAAGGTTAGCCGCTGACACATTAACGATACTTGGTTGCAGGTTGTTTTATTATTATTCTTCAAGAACCTTAATTTAATTGTGTTGTTATGTTGGTCAATGTTTTGGTTCTTAGTGATGTGATGTACGTTTTGGTATTTTTTCCAGGGCTGGAGATAGTGTTTTATAGCTGAGCTCGACAGTTAGGTTTTTATTGGCATACGATAGTATCGAATCGCCCTTCTAAAAGTCAGACAGAGAAGCTTCCGTCCGCATATTTCGCATTTACCTAGGAAAATTTTTCGAAAATAATTGTAATAGTATTAAATATTTAATTTCTATATAAACATACATTATTTAAAAATTTTTTGATATTATTATTTACCTATCTGGTAAAAATATTCATATTATATGTTAAAGTCGTTTGTGGCTTAACATATAATTACACTATCTTATTAATATTTTCCGAAGATTTTTGTCATTGGGATGTTTTAGTTCTAGTTGTGTTTGTCCGTCCGCATGAACCATGATCTTCTTGGAACGATTAGTTTTATTCTCGAAAGAAAATGTATCACGTATTTTTTATTTTTATTATTAAGTGTTGACAGTAGAACAGCATTAATCTCCTGTGGAAAATCATTCTGTTTATACTTTCTTTTTTTCGCCCCTGCAGCCATTGGAAAAACTTTGTGAGGTCCCCGCGGCCCGCAATAGCCTTGCATACGTATCAATTAACATTTTGAGTGGGTTTTCATGTTGAACTGTCACTTTTATACGCATCATGCGGCATCTACCCAACACCGCCCCCTCCCCTTTCCAGAATCGAAAAGCCCCAAACCAGATTCCAATTTCTCCGTCCGACTGTTCCCATTTGTTTTGGGCATGGAGCTCACATGATTTGTGCGTGACCATGCGAAATGTAAATTATTTATGTATTGTTCAGCCGTATATAGGGCATTATCCTATAGATAGTATTGAGTTTTGCTCTTCTCTGACAGGCGGCAGGCATCTCCATACCCTGAATCGTAGTATTCTGCGTCTCGGTTTCACAATAGCGCAAAAATAGCCAACTGTTGGAGGAACCCTTGTCAGGACATGGAAAGGCAATTGATTGGCATTAGCAGCAGGCTGGGCGAGAGGAAGGCAGTAACAGAATAGCTGGTGTGCCCGGAATAACGAATCGAAGCAAAAATTAAAGCCAACACTCAAAATTTACATTCTAACTATCGTAGATGCCATAAATTGGAAACGATGCTAAAATGAGGTCACTGAACCTACATCATATTAGCTGTAAGCTGACACCTTTTTGATTACATACATAAAGAATCCTATAAAATGTATACGTTATAAGCTTGAGACGTGTAAAAAAGTATAAATATGAATATTATAAACATTAAACATTAATTTATATTATATTTTCTCGTGTTCTATATTTAAACTTGTGTTTCGGTCTAGTTAAAACCACTTCACTTGCAAAATTATGTATAAAACTTCCATAGATATTTAAAAAAATTATTTTTCTCAGTAGTGCACTATAGTTTCCTCTACGTGCTTTCAATATATTATCTTTTCCTTATAAGCAAATTCCGTTTTCTTATATAATAGGAGGTCCTTTCTCATTTTTGCTGACTTTTCTGAATTAGATAATGACCATAGTGACATACTGACACGTGAGTCATTGAACCAATAGCAATCAGTTACCCATCTTGGTATTCCTCTTCCCCTCCAATATCCAAGCTCGACCGTTTCGGGTTTCCCGATTTAAGTGGCCGGCAATTTGTGCCGGACATTTTCATCGTTGCGACTCAATTATGAGCGTGATTAGAGCAGGCGACCATGCCATCCGTGCATTATACACCGTATTTTCATATTTGTTCCCGATAGCCGTTGGCCAACACCCCCGTTTGAGTGGCAATTAGACGCTCGCTGAAATCGCTTTGATAAATTATTAGCTGCCAAAACGAGAGCTTTTAAAACGTGCCACCTCTTTGGCAGTGGACCGTGGGGCGGGATAAGGGCAAACACAGCGAACAAGAAATGTGTAAAACGGCATCAAATATGCAACACTTTTTCTTGTTCAGTGCCTTGGCAAACAATTGGCCAATTAAGTCGAAAGTTTGCCTGCTGGACGCAGAAGGGCCTCAGCCGAAAGCCTCACCTTTCCAGCCCTTCTTGGCTGGCGTCCATTGGCCCCAAACTGATGGCCGTTGCATGCCAGGCGCACATTTTGTGGCCATTTGCGTGCCGCCTTTTTGCTCGTGGTCCGTATTCGTGGCCAACAAAAGGCGTAGGAGGCAAGTCCGGCGAGTCGGTGCGGGGCAGTGCAACTCGTTACGTGTTTTATGCAGATTGCCAACCGGACTTTTCCACGGTTTACATTTTCGATTTTCAGAGAATCTCTTTAGGGGCCCAAGTGCAATATTTCATTTTTAATTCGGTCTCCAGAGGTGTGGATTTGATTTAGTTGGCCAATATACCAAGGAAAACATCGACTGTTGAAAGTGGGTATTGGAATAGTAAAAGGTATTGGAATAAAAATAGGTAAAGAGTGGATTGGGATTACTTGAAAGAGTTGATTCATATTGTGGATGCGTTCTTTAACCTTATTAATTAATATGAACTTACCATTTTGTAACAGAAATATCAAATTCAATAAAAACACATTTGTCATTTCAGTTTCCTTTTTTTGGCTCATGCTTTCGTTTATTTTAGTTACTTTCGTTTTTCACGATTTCCATTACTAAATGCCAGGCGAAATTATTTGAACGTCTCAGCTAATTAAGTCAATGTAATTACATATTAATATTAAATTCATAATATTATATTGGTTAGTTTGGTTTTGCTTCATGGAAGAGAAGAAACATGTTGGATCACAAAGGTTTTGTTTTCGCTATCGGCTTAAGTACATATTGCTCAAACGCTCTCTAACGAAAGGAGTAAACAAAGTATTTGAGTTGAGCTAACCACTTTAAAGCTTATTTACATCAAACAACAGAACTAACAACTTTTATTCGATTTCGTTGGTTTTAGGCTTAGGTTAGGATAGATTTGCATCTCTGCACATCAGCTTTCTGAGCTCTTCTTAAGGAGTTACTATATTCTTTCTTAGATCTTTCGTTTAGTTTACGGTAAGGCTGAAGATAGAGTATTAAAATTGTTTATTGTTTAAGAGTAAAAGTTGTTTATAAAATATATTTATCATATATCAAAGTATAGTTATTTAGTTATATGTATAGGCGTATATTACAGTTTCCCTTTTTTACAGAGCAGCTGACTCACGAGTCGAGCTTTTTTATTTGAGCTAACAGTATTTTAACAATACGAGTGTTTTTTTAAGGGGTTCTAGGGGTTCTTAGGGGTTTTTATAGGTTGTAACTCGAATAATGCAAACGCTTGATCCTCTAATCGAACTAAACTACCATATCCGTATGTGTAGACATATTTATTTGATTTGTTGTATATATCATTAGGTATATATATATTTATATATATGCTTGTATAATTACTAAATGGTATTTGAGTCAATATTCATTATGTCGTACGTGTGTTTATGTATATATTGCAAATTTTGTTAATCCTCTACTGCGAGTTGCTACATTTTCATATTTTGTATATATTTAATTATTCCCGCACGCCTCATTGGTAATTGGTCCTTAGTACACTACATAGAAAGCATTTAAATGTTTTTGTTTTTCGGCATTCCCTTTGTCTTCGAGCCGTTTTCAATTTCCATAGCTCTGACACAGCATCGCACTTACGGCTTCATCTCGTTTAGGTTTCGTTGGGTCGAGTGAGCGGAGGGCTAGGCCCATTTAAAGCAAACACCTTTATCCTTTATTTCGTGTCTGTTTGTCAACAGGACGAGGACCCGGTATTGGGACGAGGAGGAGCGGCAGCAGCTGGCCTTTTACAGCCTCTCTTACAGACGACCTTTCAGGCTAAAAATAAGCGCCTTCACACAGACACACGCCCCCTAAAAACACGCCCATTGGACAGGTGTGTGCCGGCACCTGTGTGAGTTAATTGTGGACAGGAAAACCTGCGGCTTAGCCAAACATTGGCATGCGTTCTGCTAGCGTCTAAAAACGCGACGTAAAAAGCTGAAACCGCCAGCGAGGCACATAAAAGTGTCAGGCAGACATAAATTTATGTTGGCTTGCAATTTTCCAACACCAGCACACATCACTGCCTACCTGAGGGGGCAGGTGGGCTGTGAGTTGAGGGGTCGAGAAGGGGAATGGAAATGGAAAGGGGTTTCGCTGTAAGGACGAGTTTATATTTCGTGTAGCATACTTTGCGGCCAACGCGGCTTTATTATTAAAATTGCCCTGAAAGTTGGTGGGTAAACTCCATACCGCTGGGATTGCTATTGCTACGGGCTGCACAGAACGTAAACGGATACACACATTTATATTTATAGGAATTTAGCGAAAAATATAGTAGTGATGTGTCCTGGAAACTTGAAAAGATTTTATGGGAAAGTGTAGTAATACGCTAGTGGGCCAATTAGCTGTCATAGTAAGCGACTTCTAAGGAGTTTGTTGGAACTTATGAAGGCCAAACAAGTTTTTTTTTTAAGTTTAAGTTCCATGTTGTTTAATTTAAAAGATATACGTTCTTTTCACTTATTATCATATAAGTATAAACCAAAATTCGCATTCATTTGGCTAACATTGCTATACCAATGCACACCCTTTGGGTTAACATCCTGCTCAGCCATCAGAATTAAGAGCCACAACTGAGCCTGAACTTGCGGCGGTTGCTAATTAACTGCCGCACTCAAAAAACTGTGCCAAATGTCTAATTAAAGATAATCCTTTCCTGCATACTGGCCTACACTCTGGGAGTGGAAGTGAAAAACTGAAGGATCGAGGTTAATTGAGACTTTTGCAGGATGTGCGATGCTGTGTCCTTTGGCTTTCTTCTGCTCCGCTTTTTGCTTTTCATACATTTTGAGCATTGCTTTTGTCCCACTTTAGTTTAATGTGTATCGCAGCTATTTTTGACCTTTTCTCATTTTAGTTTATCGTTTTAATTCACCTTCGCTTAATTAACTACTTTTGCTGATTTGCTGGATTCTGACTAACGCTACAGTACCGTCACTAACTTTGGTTTTTCTGCTTTGGAAAGTTGTGGCAATAGAATGGAACAAAAAGTCGTAAATTTATCTATTAATATTGCGCTACTTACATGCATTTATACTATTTAATTGGTTTGTTTGATTCATAATTTTTGTTCATTTTCACATCGAATGCTCCATTTTTTGTGCAATAAGTTTACTTTGGCCATTTTGTAATTTTCTGTTTGCTTTCTGTGAATTCAATTATGTCTGCATTTATTCGAAAGCATTTTTATGCATTCTCTCGTTCGTCTCATCCATTTCATTTCAAATATTTATGCTTTATTTATTGCAGGCTTTTTATTTTGTTTGATTTAATTAAACTTTACTGCAAACGAATTATTTTCTCTCCAACTGACACTGGCCCATCTCTCGGACATTGTTCAGTTTTATTTGGTTTTTTGTTTGTTTTTTTTTTTTTGGGCAGTAAATTTTATGATCAAATTTACGAGTTACGAAAATCAAATTAAAAACGTAATTTAATCTATCCAAAACAGAGACTGAATTGTATTCAAATTGGACTCGCACTTAGTCTGGGATGAGTTCAGTACGCAAATTCTCACTTCAATCATCCGCTCTGTCAACAGTTTGCAAATCCAGACTCAATTATGAGCTAAGTCCATAAATTCAGTCGCAATTTATGGCCACTTCCCCGCTATGTGCCCCCCTGTGAGCCATTACACATTTTGGGAAACTTTCCCTTGGCAAATGATAAAACCGTTCGACTATCAGAAAATGTCATTTAGAATGTTGTCAGATTTGATTTATGCTGGTCATTTCCGTGCAAGCAGAACGGCATGAACCTCAGCTGGTTCCCGTGCAGCATTTTCAATAAATTTATTTTTCGATTTTATTTCTGTTTGCTCTTAGTTGGAAATTTATGCGAAAAATGCATAAATTACAATAAAGGGAAAAAAGTAAAACCAAACGGGAAGTGCAGCCTTGTCAAGCCGACGGCCCTAATACTCATGTAAAGTTCAAAATCTCATATTTGAGACTCTTTCTTTCTTTTAAACGAAAATCAATTTAAACATTAGTGACTTTGATTTTAGATTCTTCGGAAAAGTGGTCTCTGTTCTAACAAAATGAAAGATAAACTTCAGTTAGTCCCAGCTTGTTTTTAAAAATAAATATGAAAATGCAAAAATTCGGACTAATTATGGGTTTCGAAAAGAAAGATGGAAAAAGGTTTGCCGAAGTGAAAACACCTTTTGCGAGGGCATTGAAATGTCACACCTGTCACCGGAGAAAAGCCGCATGTGTAAATGTTTATTGCCTACCTTTGAGCGTGCTTTCTCTGTAGGCTGTGTGTGTGTGTGTGTAAGAGAGTACTTGTGTGAGTTATGTTTTCACAACCATGTTGATTTTGTTCGCTTTGTCTGCAGACATACATACACATTTGTTTGTTTTTCCTTTTTTTGTGCACACTTACTTGGCATTCCACATTTCGCATTTCGCATTTACTGCTTCTGCTGCTGCTTTGCTTATTAATTTTACACAAAATGCCATTTAACTTAGTTGTTGTTGTTGTTGCTGCTGCTCGGCTATTTGAGCTGCCATTTAACAGCTCTTTTGTGTGTGTGTGTGTGTGTGTGTAAGAGAGTCTGGGCTCTGTGGGTGAGTTAATGATAAATCACATTTCATGCAATTTACAATTTACAAAAAACATTTCGTTCGCACGTTCCGGCTGAAGTGTGAAGTTTGCTGTGTTTCCATACTTTTGTTATTTAAATTGAATATTTTCTTTGGTTGATTCCACAATCCAAGTTTATTGCTGCTGCATGTCGCCGCCACTGCCCAGGCCAGCTTTCGTCTCCGGCGGCACCTGTTGTTGGAGAGCAGAGAGTCGGGCATTAGTGCAACATATCTAATTTAATCGTTTTCTACATTGAGTGACAGACAGCATTAGAGAGAATGAAAGTGGAGCAGGAATATGTTAGACGGTCAGTGGGGTCACATGAAGTAGTTAAGCACAATCAAGGCATAAGCAAACATTTAGGTAACGAAACGAGTTCAGGTGTGTGTGTGTGTGATGTGTCTGGATGTGTAAGTGTGTGTAGCCTGAGTAAAAGGATAAAACATCGAGCAACAACAAGTTCCCGCACACAAACATACGCCAAAGAATACAAATGTAGGACAGCCAAAACAATTTGTTTGAATCAAACAAAGGATCAACGTAAATTCAGGGCAAACGCAAAAAATATCCAAGGCGAAACTTTCAGAATAATAATGGGAAAAAGCTTCCGAAAACACACAGGAATATGGTAGAAATCATAAGGAAAACTTGCAGCAGGCCAGAGCCAAAAATAATCCAAAGGGAAGACAAAGACCAAGCGAAAACTAAAATAAACACAACTAAATTCAACTGAAATCCGCCATACTCCATACTCCGCCCATCTGAACAGCCCAGGAAAAAGGGCAACAAACCAACAAACAGCAAACATACACGATTATGACTGGGGACAGGGACCGAAAATGAAGTTCGGCTGGTAAGCCATATTAAGCCTAAAGTGTAACAAGTGTAATTCAGACTCAGCGCGCTTAATATTAAATTAAGAACGAAACGAACTGGGAAAGTTTTTGGGGAGAGCGAAGAAAATCATAACACAGAAGCTTATGCAGATAGGATGCAAGTGGGAGTTGAGGGGGTGAAAAAAACTCTTTTAAACTTAAACGTTTTGCGATTTAATCAACTTTTAAGCTAAATAGCAAACTCAGATTTTGCGATGTTTTAGCCAATTATTGAGATTTCAGTATTTAAAATTTAATAACTTTTAAAAACAATACACTATCTTTCATTATATAACAAAAGTAATAAAAAGATTGGTTAAGGGGATAAGAGGCTTAAGCGTATTTTAAACATCAAACATTAATATCTTAATCTTAACTCTTAACTCTTAAGATTTATGTATAAAGCGAGTAAATAAATTCGGTCCCCATTAACAATTGACATTTAGACATTTAAACAGCGATTAAGTAAGTGAGTGAGAGAACTTCTAACTAATGACAACATCGACATTAACAACTGGAAAAGAATGAGAAACCGACGACGAATGGAGTACATTATGACCAGAGAAACTGTCAACGGCGACTGTACCTAGTATCTGAAGGATGTGGGATATGGAATCAAACTTAGCGGCCATAAAAACTATGAAAGTCCAGGAAATCCATGGAATCTGTTTGATTTTGTTGTTGCTGATCGATCTACACGAGGGTGGGAGGACCAAAAAAAAACAAAAAGTTAACAGAACAGAAATGGCAGTAGTTGTGGTATTAGTTTGGCGGTGATTTGGTGGGTTTGTATTTAATTGGAGAGCAGGAGAAATAGAGAGAGTTATATATATAAATATATAATTGTGGTAGGAGAGTGGAATATATTACAAAATAGTTCTCGGGATATCCAGTTTTCACTTACCAGTTTCTTGAAACAATCCTCAAAGAAGGCGGTCATCGAGCGGTACAGATGCCGTTTAACACCCGAAAGGCTATGCCCCTCATCCGGATATATCTGCTGCTTGTACAGCACTCCTTTGCTGGTCAGTGATCTGGCCAAAACCATTGATTGCTGCACATGGACATTATCGTCGGCTGTTCCATGGACCAGCAAGAACTGGCGATCCCGCAGATTGTCCACGTACTTGGACAGGTCACTCTCCTCGTATCCCTTGTAGTTATCCGTCACATTGGGGAAACTCAGATAGCGTTCGGCATATGTGGAGTCTGGAATGAAATGGCAAAAGATGTTACTACATTACAATATCAAAAAATTTATAGGAGAGTGACCATAATAAACTCTATGAGTGTCTAAAGGAAAGCAATAACCATAGTTGAAATTTGCTGTTGCATACTTTTAGATGTTAGTATTTCTTTAATAACTTTCAAGCAATTCAAGGAATAAAGACTCACCATATAACTTCCAATTGGTGACGGGCGAGACACTGATTCCACACTGGAAAATCGACTGCTGACCGGCCAGAGCCAAAGCAGCCGTATATCCACCGTAGCTCCAGCCCCAGACTCCCATTCGGCGTGAATCAATGAAGTGCAGGTTGTCTCGTAGGTACTCGCTGACCTCTAGCTGGTCGGAGACCTCCACGCTGCCAAGACGCTTGTAGACCTCGTGGAGGAGTTGGTATCCTTGTCCTGAAGATCCTCGTCCGTCGATCTCCACGACAATGTAGTCCTTGCTGCCAGCTAAATAGGTGTTCCAATCGACGTGCCAGCGATCTGTGACCAGTTGACTGCCCGGACCGGAGTAGACATGCAGTATGGTGGGATACCGAGTGATCTCGTCCTCGCGTAAAACGGGCGGAAGGTAGAGCCGTACCTGGGCATGATATCCACCGGAGATCATAACAGGGGAACGTCTTGATCTGCGGCATGGCTGTCTTGGCCATCTTCTCCTTCAGCCGGGTGTTATTCTGCACGGTGACGAGGAGTTCCAGGAACTGTGACTTCGGTTCCTCCACCAATTTCTCCTCCCCACCTTCCGTGGGAGGTTCCTCCTGTTGGGTGCTTTGTCGCTTCACCTTAGGGATTTCTGGGAACGGTGGTTTTTAAGCCGTATATAATGGCGGTGGGTACTACAGGTCCCAGGCAATCTATTAAAACGTATTTAGCCCGGCGCGATATTGGGAACTGCGCTTCGTGGTACAGGCAATCACTGGGTGGCGGTGGCAGGGGCGCACTCTGACCCCTACCCGGAGGCTGTTGCTCCACCGGCATCGCTGGCTGTGGCGATTGCACCTCCGCCTCCTCGGAATCCTCCCAATCATCGTCCCAAGCGGTCACCAGCTTTGGCGGCGACTTGGTATGACCTTCGTCGTAGCCTTCGGCCCACTGTGCTACAGCCGGACACGTTAGACAGTCGGGCGAGCGAAGGGCCTGACCTTGGCGGGCTGGCAGGGCGGATACGCGATATAGATGCTGTTGCGAGGGCAGGCGCTCGGGAGTTCCTAGGAAGTAGCTGTGCAAAAAAGTAATAATTATGATATTGACTTAAGTTGTAAAAAAAACTGACGATTTATAATGCATATTTAATGGTTGCTTTCTGAATTATTTTTTTGAGTTTATAATTTATTTTATATTTACTTATTAAATTTCGTAATGAGGTTTTCTCACTTAACTATATATTTTTAGATACCTTTAAAAATCATTAAGAAACCATGTGAAACATAAAACTGAATAAGTGAATTTCCTTTAAAATCTAAAAGTTTTGAAATCATTTTTATATCGGAGTTTTAACTTCGCAGCCCAATCATGTACTATATGGGTATGAACGTTTAATTTGAAGAGTAAATATTAAAGTTGGAATCGTTATTCCGAACAACAGCTTTTGATATTAACAAATAATCGGACTGCCTATAATACACATAACTCTGAACTGCAGGACGGATGTGGGGTCGGTTGCGTGTGTGTGCAATCACTTACATCCAATTATCCAGCTGATCCCAGTGCAGCAATCGGTTCACTTCGTAGGGCCCGTGGGTGAGGGGCAGCACACGGTTCTTGTCGATGTCCACGTGCACGATGTGCCGGAAATAGCCTGTGATTAAGAGGTATTGGTTGCAGGAGAGAAGAGAAAGGCCAAAGGGGCAGAAAGGAGAAGCCGGCTTTGTCACTCGGGGAAACAAAGACCAATTTGACATCTCAATGACTTACCAAACAGGCCATCTCGCAGTGGGGAGATGGCCACATAGATGCTGGCATTGACGGCAAACAGCGGCACTGCGACAGTGTCCACCCAGCCACGTCCATCTCCGCTCACCCGGTGGGTCTGCAATGGCGGATGGCGGAAGGGATTCATTAGGAGATTGGTGGTTCAGTGGCTTGACCCAGCCGGTTGCGGCTAATTGGACTCACCTCAATGCACTCGAACGACGGTGCCTTACACACACTGACCACCGATATGTTTTGAGGTCGATTGAGCCAAACCACGGCGATCTTGGAGTGGCTCACCCAACTGGCGCTGCTGAAGTAGTGATCTCTGTGGGCGATTTTTTTATTTATTAGTGTGATTAAATTAATAATATTACTTAGTGTACATTTAGATGAACTTTGGCTTAAGTTTAAATGAAAGGAAAAAAAGACTTACTCATGAGCCAAAATCTGTGGAGGATGCAGGTCTGTGATGCGAACGTTCTGCGGATCCTTCAGGTCAGCTACTCGTAGGGTAACTGTGGGATTCTGAGTTCCGGGCTTGGGGTAGCTGTCAAAGGAAATAAAACAAAACAGAGTGAAAAAGGAGTTAAGGACTTAATCCCCTGCATTATTTTCCTTTCTAAAGATAACTCAAACCCCTGACATCGGACTACTGCCCCTCTCTGGACAACAAAATCGTACGTTGACCTTTTCGAAGTCCATCCTAGCAATTTATCAAACCCAATTGACAGGGGATCAACCTTAATACGTCACAGCTTGCTTAGGCACCCCAAAGTGTTGTTTTGTCTTATACTCAGAAACTAATTCTAATGCCCTGACAGTCGTCAGGAGGTGGGAAAGGGATAGCCCCGGGAAAAGGTTGAAGCCAGTGCCCGAAAACCACCTGTGAAAAGGTCTCCCCCTGTCACTTCATGAATTTTAAGCATCTTGCTAGGAGGCCATTAGGTAATACGGCGGGTACGAGGGAGATGAGGCATCATTAACACATAATCGAAAAGTGATATAGCCAGAGCTCTGGCCCTAATGGGGTCACGACTTACCGTAAGGACCTGATTTCCGGGTACAGGTTGGCATGCGGATTATTGCCGCTCGACGAGGCGCCCGCTCCTCCGCCTCCAGATCCAGATCCTCCTCCCGCAGCGGCCGCTGCAGCTGCCGCTGCTCCGCCAGTCGGACCCGTCGTCCCATACCAGGCGAAGTGCTGCTCCTGGACGTGAGTGTCGTTGAAGGTGGCGTAAAGCATCAGTTGGCCATTGTCCGACATCCAAATCGCATTATTTGCATGAAGGATCTCCTCTGAAAATTGAAATAAGTGCCCGCTGAGTAAAATGTCGTGTAACGTGCCATCCCGGCTTGCAAGTAATGCAGTTCGGTGCTCTGGATATCAGGAATTTTCTCATTACTTATGCTTAACTGTGGGTTAAGTGACGGGACAATGATATACCACTTTTAAATGACCCTCTAAAAATGAGTGTGGTTCATTTTTGCTTATGGGAAATTGCTTTTCATAAACTTGCACGAGCCAAAGAGAAATCTTTACAATTTTGGATAGCTGGCAAAAAACGAGGTTCTACTTTTCAGAGATTCTATTAATATTAAATCCATTTTCCATATCGTCGATATATTTCGCGTCAAAATTCACGAAATTATCAGAATTCCACTCACCTTCGTACAGCCAATCGGGGATGCCGTTGTACACCACTCCGGGCACCGCATCGTGGGTAATCCGATGAACGGCCGGGCTGCGGACCTCCTCCCTGTAATAGATGTCGTAGCTCTGCACCCAGACCAATGCGTTCCCAGCAGGCGTAAATCGGGCGTAGTGCAGATAGGGCCATTCATCCTGATGCGGACTGTGGCGCAGCTTTATGCTCTCACTGGCGGGGATTAGGGGAGAAGAGCAAAGTGCTAAAATACGAACGGGCTCGACGGTGAGCTGAAACTCACCTGGTCTGGATGTCATAGAGCGTGTACTGCGCCAAATACGAGTGCCGGAACAATTTTACAACATTCTGGGCCAGGAGCAGATAGCGCTTGTCCGCCGATATGGTGAAGGTGAAGGGTGCCAGGGTTTTCTGTGAGTGAGCGGGTGATTAAATGCTTGCTTCAAATTATGCGGAAAACTGTTGAGAGGAGCCTGCCACCGCCAATGCGGCTGTAACACTGCGTATACGCAATTTTAATTAAAATTTTAATGGTCTTTTCTGATTCGCACGCAAAATTGCGGAAGTTTTGTTGGTGGCACGTTAAAAATTTTCGAAATTTGCGGCATTGTTTACGGGCCCGAATACCGAAATTGTTGCCAAAGAGTTGGTGTGCTCCGTAATTTGCCTGGGAAAACAATCTGAAAATTACTCTCCCTAGACGAACTCAATCAAGAGCCGAGTTGATGTCTGGCATTTAGCTATTCATTGCTCATTTCTTGTTTGAGTTTGAAGGAAAAGTAACTTTATCCCACCTCCTTAGCCGGGCTATGAATATGCATTGCCATTATGCCGTTTCGACTGCTCACTCGTGTTTCTCTGGATTCGGCTGCACATTAATTATTTCCCACTCAACTGGCAACTGTTGACTTGCAGTGGCTGCACTTGTTGCACTCCTTGTCTGCATTTTTGGCCCCTCGAGGCACTTGAAATGTTTGCTTGCCAAGTTGGCAAAGAAAAGCTTCTGTTTCTGTATCCCGCCGCTTCGCCTCACCCCATCGCGATGGCATTCATTTTCCTTGCCTTTATTTGTTTGTTTTTCAATTCCATCCGCGCATTATTCATTAGAAAGCATTTTACCCCGCGCCTCCCCCGTGCTTTTCCACATGTGTTTACCCAGTCATTGACATAAAAATCTTTTTGCCTTTTATCGCTATTGCTATCGCTGGATTGAGGGGAAAGTCGCCGCACTCCGTTAACGATAACTTGGCCCATTTGTTTCACCCACTTTTGTGCGCGCCATAATATCAGTTAACATTGCCAAGTCGAGTGTGTACACTTGAGATATCTGCCTAGCGGCACTCCCACCTCTCCCTCGACCTCTCGACCCTCTCTCCTCCTCGCCAATAGACTATATTTACTATCTAGGACTCCGACAACTCCCCGACTCGTAAATAAGATGGGGCAAATATTTATTCTGCTCAGAGAGATAAGCAATAAGCAAACAAACAGCGGCAGTAGTGGGCGGCCAGAAGAAGGGGATGGATTCAGCGAAATGTACTTACAAATGTCACATTGGACATGAGGACACGTTCCGAGCGATTGGCTGCATTCAGCAGACAGATGCGACCCAAATGGTCCTGGTACAGAAACTCCTCGGCTGCAAAAAATGAAATGAAAGCGGAAATTAAAAGCGATTTGCCAGATAGAATGGCCCACGAACAGCACTCATCATATACACTGCGAGAAATAATAGTTTCATAATAGTAAAGTTGGAATAGCAAAAATTTGATAAAAAACAGGAAACTGTGCCAAAAAGTATGCAAAAAATCTGTGGCATATTGTTCCATAATTTCAAGCCATTTCATAAGTGCTTTCATTGCTTTAAGTGTAGTACTCACCATCGATCCAGCTGCCGTTGGAGTGCTGCGGAACGAAGAGGCCATCGACGATGTCCTGCAGCTTGATGCGCTGCCCTTTGACCCGCGGTCCCTCATCGGGGGGCGTGAGCAGCACCTTTTTTGATAAATGTAGAAATTTTATATGTTGTCTTCTGCACACTCACACAGTCAGACAGGCAGGCACACGTGAACAACACACATATACAACACCAACAGGAACAGCAACAACGAATGGAAAGGAAAATGGTCGGTGGTGTGGGGGAGGTAAATTTATCAGGCAGCCACAAAATCGCAAAAAAGTAAACAAACAAACAGACAAAAGACAAAAATGAGCGTAACGTATTTACACAAAAATTTATCACAGTTGTATTATTTATATAAGTATATACACATAAATATTAATGGGGAGTTTCCAGTTTTCTTTTTTCCTTTGGCTTCGAGTGCCGTTAAAATATTTACAGGAACAGCCGAAAAGCAGGCCTCACAAATTTGTTCCTCAACGGCAGGCCAATTAAAAGAGAAAACTTTCACCATCCAATTACGCGTGAGGATTTGTTTTCTGTGTGGTGATTTTGAAGTGAACGGAGTAACAGTTTACATCTAAACATAAATGTTCTGCACTAATGGAATTTGCATTGTGGTGGACTGAAATTCGGTATAGGAACTCATTCTTCTGCGGTATGTCAGTGGTTTATACTCTTGCTAAAATCAGGACTTGTAGAAACAATTCATAGATTGCCATAACTATGTTATATAACTGAATTTTAAAAGTCTTTTAAGTACACTTGTTTTGTAATATTTTAAAGGCAAAAGTAGTTTTGGCAGAGTGTTAAAACTTCAGCGTATTTCCTCTTTCTATTTAGGTTGAATTTGTTCTGTTTTTGTGTTGGTGGACTAAATGTGCTTTTGTTTTGTCAGTATTTTGGTTATTGCTTTGGGCTTGTTTTGCTAAATAAACGCAATTGCACAGAGCGTTAGTTGAATCAATTCTGGGCTTTCGGGCTGGCCAATCATTGGTGTTTGTCAACGGGACTGGGCTCTGTGGAATTGAATCTTATTTAATTGCCCATAAATTCATTTGCGACACCGATTTCCACAATTAGGCCACCACCCAGTGGGTGGCCTGATTAAACCGCAAGGGACAATAACCAAATATCATGCTGTACTATTTTTGGTTGGCTTAAATACCAAGTATTGGCTCAGACTCACCACCGAAGTTACAATCAGGGCCAGGACGATGATGATGACCAATAGCGCGATGAGGATCCCGCGCCAATTCCTTTGGTTGGGATTGCTGGAGACCAACTGTGGAAAATCAGAAGAAAATAATCAGAAAGAACAGCAGAACATAAAGGAAATTAATTGGGAAACGATGGAATGCAAATGCTGTACATAAAGAGCACGTGCGGCTCATTAACCCTAAAGTTATGAAGGCCGGCCATGGCCATAATAAACTGGCCAGAACCGCAAATAATTGGTAGCCCAAGATGCAATTAGTAAACTGATGATTCAGTTTCCCCTTCTGTGCCGGCTCATAAACGGTTGTCCTTCCAATTTATGTCTACCCTTAAACAAACTCACACAGTCCTTGTCTTCAGCGAACATGTGGAACCACCGGCCCGGCCAAAACCCCTTGGAAATCAACGCTTAATGCATATTTAATGTTGTCAAGCAACAAAGGAACACAGAAACCCAAATTAAACACGACAAAAACTAAACTCACGCAGCCCGTACAAGTTGATACCGATTTTTACGAGGAGCTGGGTCCTTTGTCTCTGCCTGATTTCGTCCTAGCCTATAGTCTATCATGTCGCACATACATATATATAATGCCGCTTAGCCGAATAATTAATTAAGGGCTCATAAAACTATGCTCCTCTGCCAAGATAATACAGAAATGGCAATGTATTAATCAAGAGTTGCGTGCCAGAATGCTTGGGCTTATCAAATTAATTGGGGGACAGATATTTATACATTCGGTTTATCATTTAGGCTGATTTTTTTATTAAAATTGCTGAAATTTCTTTTTAACTTTATGAGTTTATATAAGCATTTAACATTCTTGCTAAGGGGGAGATAGTTACTTTTAACAATACTCAACCAAACAAAGAGCAAGAAACAAAACAAATCGATTTTCCCACAAAGTTCGTTAACTATTATTCGCCAAAATGGGGGAAAGGGGCTGGGAGAGGGCTCAATTAAAATCGCATAAATATGTTTAGCCCACAAAAGCTTCCCCTTTGGCCATTAGTGCAGGCGGGTGAAGCGCGAATCTTAATTAATAACCCGGCTCACATACAAATGGGGGACAAATTGCGAGGGAACACGTGTACCTGAGCACACGCATCCTTTGCCAGCATGTTTATTTATAAGGGATCCCCACCCCGCCCCTCGTTGTGCGGGTCCATTTCGGAAATCGCAACCAACAACCAGCAACCAGCACCAGTATTTATTACTCGCCTGGAGTTGCGCCGCAAATAATGTGAAAACAACGTAAACTGAACTATCAAACTACAATAGAGAGCTCAGCTTTTGGGAACTTTCGAGTAAGTTTGCTTCTGGTGCTGCAAGCAGCATGAAAATATTTTCGTGGAAACAATCATAATAATAATGATTTCCCGGGGCGCTTACTTTATTTGCCTTAATTGAATTGAATTTATTCTCGTCGGGAGGGTCAAGGAGTACGGTTCTTAGGACACTTGCATAAGAACAGCAGAGCCCAAAACACTCAGCTTGATTGCCGGGAAGGAAAATGCTTCCACACAAGCTCAAGTAAATATGCAAAGAGCGATCATAAATGAAATTTAAACACTCAGCTTGATGAGTTGCTGTTAGCGCTAAAGGAATTAAAAATAATGACAGTCATCAATTTGAACAAAGGCCGTGGCTGCCGCAAAATTCAATGAGTTTACTTCTGGCCTCCACGGTTAATGGGGGAATTAGAAGGATACCCGAGGAAAAATGTAACACGTGAGCAGCGCCTTCTATTAATTTCAATAAATTTTTAATGCCATGCTATTAGGCCCGGCAGAAATTAGCTGGCTGTAACTCCAGTTGGTAACGAAAGATTCTTTCTTATGAATATTGAATATTTTGAAATATTAACAGCTTAAATATTAAGTAGTTAGGTACGAAGTGTTCTTTTAGTATTTATGAGTGATAAAAATCTTATTTCTAACGTTTACAGTCTCTGCTTTTGGCTGTCAAACCTTTTAGCTTATACACTCTGTAACAATGCCTTTCAAATTAAGAAAATCGATTACAAAGTAATAAATATAAAATAAATCACTAATTAACAACACCATAAATAAACAATCGCTACAGATTGTGAGCAAAGATAGTGAGATTCGCAGTGATCTCTGTTTCCCCGAGCTGCAATAAATTAAAGCGAAGGCCGTTCGCTTTATGGGCTTTTTTCTGGCATTGTAAACTCTGCGGCCCGAATTGGAAAATATTGTAACCGAAATTGCACACAATGCGACACTTGATATATGAAAATGAAATGCACGTTGGGAAATCGCAATCGGAATGGAAATGGAAATGGATTGCAATTTAAGTGCAGCAGGAAACAAAAAAGCGGAAATGAGAGATTGCCAAAGAGAAAACCGCTTTCACCGTTTAATGATGTTTGTTCGCTGGATTTCTCCTGTTTGTGTTTGTTTTTTATTTCAGCTGACTTTTGATTATCGTGGGATTTTGGTCAAACAATGTTATCATTCCATTTTCATTGTGTCCGCAAACAGGGAAACCGGGCTTGCTCATCTGGGAAAAGCACAAGGAGTTGGACTTGATTAAATTCTCGGTTACCTGAGATTTAACCCAGAGAAAACCCGAACTGCTAAAGTATTCTTTTTCAGGCATCGTTCAGAGTTTAAATGTAAGCCACTGGGTGAAGCTGGAAACTTTAGACCGACCGAGCTTAAAAGCAGAGAATAACCAAATTAAGTCCTGCCCCCACCTGCTTTCACTATCCACTTTCACTTTCGCTTTCTCTCAGCTGGCCAGGGGGCAGAAATAATGCGAATGGGAGACTCCTGGCACCCACACACACACCTACACTCTCAGGCACAGCATTAGCTGCCTTTTGCGGTTGAGCCCGTCGAGCTGAGCTGGGCAAACTTTGGTTGCTCCTCGAGTGCAGAAAGTTGAAAGAGCCAGCTGGTTTGAGGGGGCTTATACGGATAGGGGCCAGGGAATGGGTGCTGGAGAGCCGCCAGTTATTTGCATAAGTTGTCATAGTTATTAAGCTCTGAGCGTTAAAATTCTTTGCTGCATACTTTTAAGCGCATTAAAAATAGATGCCAGTTATAGTATTTGTCGAACGAAGAGGGATAACGAGTTTGGCCGGGGTGGGGGTGGAAGTGGAGACGCCTGGCTATATCCCGCTGGCTGTCAAAGTGTCGTTTTCAATTAACTCACAAGTTGGCCAGGCAGCGCTGGAGATGGCCCAGTTAATCGCATTAAAAACCATCTGTTAGCCACTCACAAAGAAGGTCAGCTATGGCCTTCGAATTAGGACTTTGAGGAGATTCCACCATTAAATGAAATTTCGAATAATAATAATTGATAATAACAAGTCTTTTGGCTTAATGTTGGATTTATGTCAATCACTTTGTGTCAGATTTGGAATATTCATTTAAAATATAATTCAATTTAATTATCCGATCAATTTTCGGACTGACTTATCTAGATTTGACAGGTTCTAATTAACTGGTTGAGTTTAAGAGAAAATGCCTTTAGGTCAGAATAGGAACAAACATTTGATTGGTGTCAGCAAATGTAAAATGTAGTCCCCTATAAAACGAAAGTTACTAATGTCCTACAACAAACTATATAGCAATATAATTTCCCTTTATATAATATAAGAGTACATTCAAATTTATGCTGACCTCCGACCTTTGAAGCTCCTGAAGCCTCCGAATAAAATTCAGCAAAGTTTGCCTAGCAATGTTTGCTCTTCACTCAAAGCCAATGCATGGAAAACTTCTGAGCCAATGAAAGCTGACTTATTGCATTTTTCGTTGGGTTCTTCTTTAGTTTTTCCGTTCGTGAATATTGGAAACCTTGGAGGACCTGTGCCTCCCGTCCTGGGCACGCCTGTCACCTGAGGCAGCATTCCATTCGGGCAATATTGCCCTTCGCATTGTGGGGCGACATTAGTAAGCAATCTTTATGACCTGCTGCCTTCCTGCCAAACATGAAATCCATAAGCAGTCCTTCGGCTTTCGCGGCGATTGTGAAAGGGATGCAGCCATAGTGCATCCTTGCACGTTCCTTGCACCAGGCCCCGGCCAAAGTGTGTGTTGGTGAGGCCCTCAAGTGTGTATCTGTGTGTTTGCTTGTCTGTGTCTGGCTTTCCGGCATGCCAGCCCCATTGTCTACCTGTGATCCCTGCCCACCCCCTGCCATTTCGTTTGGCTGTTGTCAACAGCAGTTTAGCTCAAGGCCATAACGGCATAGCATTTGCTATAACTGTCACGTGGGTGCAAGTTCTCGGTGAGCGGGTTTTCCTCTATGTCAACACATACTCGAGCTTCCATTACACGGCCATGATTGCTTATTTTTCTGTTTTCTCTTTTCCCTTCTCGCCTTCAGCTTTTCCCAACATGCTCCTGCAGGTGTCGCGCCTGTCGGCGGTCGTTAAGTTACCTGAATTTGTCAAAATAAAATGTAATATGCCAGCGCTGACACAATTGGATGCGATGTGCAGTGGCTGTCTTGGGACGGCGGTTCAAGCAAGAGTGATTATTTTGACTCCTTTCCCTTCCCTTACTCTCCTTTCGCCCAGGAGTTGTACTTTTATGATTTTATGCTTGGCTAAACTTGATTTATTTTGGACAAAAGGATTACGGAGATGGAGCAGAAATGTCATTAATTTTGAATTACATTTTTATAGAAAATTGTTTCAGTGCTGCTTGTTATTGTTGAAAACGTTACCGAGAAAGTTTAAGTTAGCTTACGATATTGATTCATAAACTATGTTGTAACTTTTTTGTGGCTCATTACGTTTTATTATTTTCCATTGTCAAAGTCCCGGAACACACAAAATAATTAAAAATAAATATTTTAGATAATGTTAGCTCTGAAACTTGATTAAATTGACTACTTAGTTGTTTTGCTAATAATTGAGTTGTCGATGGAAATGCACTTCTGCACTAATGAACTAGGAACATAGATTTTAATCACACCTCTAGCTCTTTAAAGCCTTGGTAACAGTTGAAGAGACTCTTCTCTCTCTCTCTCCTGGACAACAACAGCTGGCAGCCAGAATTAGCATAGTCAAAACAGTTAATACAGATAAAATGCACTGCCAAACTCAATTGCTCCCATAATGGATGGGCAACACTTTGCGCTGCCAGAAACCAACTCGTCGCCGGGATGAAATCGGAGTGGAAATTCCGGCTAATTGATTTCCGCTCGACTGGCTGATTGCCATTTCGACTGGCTGTTTATCTTAGCAGCCGTCCGACACTCCCGCTCCGGCTGGCTGGAAAGTCTCATCCTGGCAACTTAGTATGCAGAGAACACACACACACATACACACACAGCACAGGGCCGACATGCGGTGCATGGCTAATTCAGTTTTGCAATTGTAGTCACTGTAGCTATAGATGTGGCACTGTGGCAATGTCAGCGCTTTGCATTTGAATAACATGCGGAATTTATTTCAATTAGCATCGCAGTCGCTGCCACTACCGCAGAGTTGATTCTACGGCGCCGCAAAGTATGCAGCCAAGCGGGAAAAGCTGACCATCAAAGTCAGTGGAAAGACGGAATAGCGGAAGAGGACGATGGCAATGCTAGAAGGAGGAAGCTCAAGTTGCCCGACTGCTCGTTGAGTCGTCGAGCGAACTTTTCCGCCTCCCCAAAGTACTTCTCAAAGTTGAAATCAGAGTGAGTCGCGACTGAAGTGGCGATGTAAGAGCTTAGTCAGCTTGTCGGCCAAGTGGAGGTAATAATAAGTCCAATCGCGAAAGGTAATCTCTGGGTAAACCAATCAGGGATTTCCGAAGTGTCACCGGAAGGCGGCCAATCCCTCTCACTAATCTATCTGCTACTGAATTTATTTATTTAAGTTGAGTAAAAATATTTATGATTAATAAAGGGAACTCTGGTACTTTCAGAGCTCCTTTCGGCTTCTCTTTGCGATTAGGATAAAGATACTTCAAAGACTGCTCTGACTGTTAACTTTAAAACTAAAAAGGAAACCCTTAAACTAACATTTAAGTAAACGTTTAAAAAAAATCATTAAATAAATCAAATAATTTCCTTTTTATTTGTGCTTTTTGTAAGACAATCTTTTTTAGAAAACTTTCTCCAAAGCTTTTAGGAATCTCGCAGTGCTATGATGTAACTAAACTAAGAATAGAAGATCCTAGCCAATACCTAGCTTATAAATAAGTTAATTAAATTGCAGAACAATAACCCTTACATTTCGCTTAAGTTCAGCTAGGCCACTTGCCAATACCAAGATTCCCTAATGTATTCTCCGGGCGCTTTTCAATTTTCCCAGCCATTAAACAATTTGAAATTTTAATACCAACAGCAAGTTTGGGTTTTCCTGTATTTCGAATACGCTTGACTAATCCCTGGAAGAACCCAGGAAGAAGGAAGCGGAGCTCGGTTACCCGTCGCGCGCACACGTCCCGGAAAATATTTGTTTTTAAAATTAATTATGCCTAATTATATTTGGGCTGAAAACATATTCGTTTTTCTTTTTGGCAGAGCCTTTCGCTCGGCTTTCCGCCAGGACGCAAGTTTAACAAAAGAAATTACCTCATCATCGTAATTATCCTGCTCAGGCATGACTCGATGTTTGTCGGCTTAGGGCGATGGATTTAGCGGAAGTCCAATGGGATGGTGGGCGAGATGGGTGGTTATGTAGATGGTTGACAAATTAAAGAAGCCGCCGGCTGTTGTCTCTGTCGCGGCCGTCGGCGTTTCTCGGCTGGATTTATGCTTTTTAGATTGCTAATCGAATCTATCAATTTCCCCGGCGATAATTTGCGAGCTCTTCCAATTTGTCTAATCCTCGAAATCAGCTCGCTGAGCCTGCTGGCATCTTGTGGGGCTCGAGATAACTGGAGTTGCTTCCATTGGCCATGCTTCCGCGAATTATTTTAAAGCTCGTCCTTGACTTTTGCCAGCTGTCCTTCTGCCCATCTGCTTCTCAGCCACTGTCGCTGTCCCTGTTGTCGCTGTCGTTTTTTTAGCTGTTGTTTTTGTTGCTAATTATGAATGGCCGTTGTTTTTGGTGTTGCCGCTTGACTTAGGAACTTGTCGTTTCGGTCCTTGCAATGCGCTTTTGCTGTTGCTTTTCCCCCTTGCCGCGTCTGTCCTTACTAATGAGCATACATTTTCAATTTTCCCAGCTGCAGCCAGCCCAGTTTTTCCTTTGTCTCGCTGGTGTAGTCGTAGTTGTTGCCGTCGTTGGTGTGGGGAGTCCTCGCCCTGACACTAATGATGCAGCATACTTTTAGGCCAAGCGCTAAATTGGAATAGAGTGGGGTTTTGGAAGGGGAAGAAAAAACACACACAATATTTTAAAATTCAGTTCTTGCTTAAGCATTTTCTTGTTGCTCTGGTGTTGTTGTTGTTGTTGTTTTTCGTCTTCTTTGTGTGTTGTTGTTAGTGCCAATTTGGTGTGTTGTGCTTTTAGCCTTGCGAGCATTTGCGCGTGTGGGTGTGTGAGTGGGTGCTTCTTATATAACATGACACATGTTCGGTGGTGCTGCATACTTTCTAGCTGCTGTGTATGTTTGTGTGCTATGTGCTATATATATATATATATGTGTGAGCTTGGCTTCTCTGGCATTTGAATGTGGGTTAAGTAGTCTAGTGTTTAAATATTTGCATAAACAAAGGCCAGTGCCCAAAAGCAGGCAATGTAAGTTCTAATTACATGTACGGCAACATTGCAGCGCCTTTGTTTCCATTCGTGTAGTAGTAGTGGGGTAGGTAAAACATGCAGGTAGCCCCAAAAAACTAATCTGTTTATTATGCAAAATGTTGCATGCGATGGAGGAGGGGCGCGGATTCAACACTTTAAACATGGCTGCGTTGTTATATGCAAATTCTAACCACGGGGCGGCAGTGAAGTGGCTGAGTGTTAATAGCATTACATTTTCAATTTAAGTTATGGCAAGTTTTTCCTTTACTCTTTTCTTGGTGCCCTTATAAGCAGCTTATAATGCAAAATGCATGTACAGTGAACGATGGCTAAGGGGGCAGGTGGGAGAGATATTCAGGGTTGGTTGTATATTATGGTGGGGTCATTGATTTTCAGAGTTAATTAATAGATAGGGGAAGTGTCAAGGGCGATATTATGCTTATACTTATGATGCGTTTAAGATTAGTGCTGGCTAATTGAACATATACATATTAATTGAATTTAAGTTTTTATATGACTTAAGGATTGATTTCTTCTCAACTTTTCCTTAACAAGTCCTCCAATGGCCATGACACAAGAACTTGTGGAGCCCCAAAAGGATCAAGCTCATGTTATCCCCGTAATCCAAAGGCTAACAAAGCTATTTTATATATCTATACTATAATTACCCTGAATGTCAGCTGTGGAGCCCCGTGGCCTGAGGAAGACAAATGACTCCAAGCCCGAATAGAACCACAAAACACCGCTCTACACTGGCTTGCCTCTCTCGGCAAAACGCTAGAAGCGTTAGCTTCGGCTTAAATAGCCAATGACACACAAATAATCTACAATGGCCCCGTGAGGGAAGAGGGGAGGGAGTGTTTATCATTCGCCTGAGTCATCTTTAGGCAGCACATTCACTGTGCACTCTTCTCTGGAACGCATTACAATGCATAAACTTTTGGCTATTGTGGGGACTCCGCCCGACTTTCACCTTAACCGACGGCCACAACTATAAATTAAAATAACATATAGAAAGAAAACACAATCTTCGCCCTAAACGTCACTTCTGGGAACAATGGAAATGTTTGATAAAGCAGCCAACATAAATTTCATTAATTTCCACGTACCCAAATTGTTTTTTGAGTTTTTTTGTTGTGTTCTTTTCTTTATTGTTTTGCTTTATTTCTGTCCCGCTTGCGTAGCCGAGCGCAAATTTTATTGTTTTCATAAAAATGATTTTCATTTTTCCCCGAACAATGTAGCATTGAAAACATCCTTGCCACGAAATAAAGCAAAACACATTTCATATTCGTGGACGCTTCCAATTTAGGACTTGACTAACGAGTACATCCTCTGGCCATGTGAGTTGCTTTTAGGATACCACAAACTTTATATGTTCTATTTAAAATATCAGTCTAGGCATTCAAAAAACTTTATAAACACAAGTTTGTTAAGAGAATTTGTACTCTATATAACAGAGAATCTAACGTTTTAAGCTTTAATAGATCAATAAAATAAAATAAACTTGAATAAATTTGTGATTCTTTATTGCGTCGAAGTGAAAACATTTTGTAAACATTCGTTATTCCTTTGAAATACGTGCAGCAATAAATATTGCACGACTTAATAGCTGGAATTAAAGTTATTATGCAACCTTTTATGGTAAGTTACCAGTTGCCCACGGTCTCAGCCTTTTCCACTTTGATATTTTGCAAAAAGTTTTATTTAGCTTGCTCTGCAACTTGGTTCCATGTATTCTGTTATCAACATGTTGACATTCATTCGAGTGGGGGACTTCCATGCCCCTTCCCCCTCAACTTTTATTGTTCTATCTCGCTCGCCGCTCAACTTCCGGCATGATGCAGCCGTGCGTAAGTCGCTTCCGGTTGAAGGTCGGGTACCCGCTCCACTCTGGCCGGAGTGCCAGCACACTCGAATACGAGTATATATCATTCGTAGCATGCCCCTGGCATTTTGCAAAAATTTTAAATTTATTGCTTCAATGAAGCGGCAAAACATCGTACACCCAAATCTACATTCGTGCAATATGAATTGTTGATTATTTTAAAAGAAGCCCCGCCCGCCCAGCATGTGGATATGTTGCCTCATATGCCACGAGTATGGTTGCCAGGGAAAATCAATTGCAGCTGCTGGAAACGTGTTGCAGGCAGGCAATTTGAGAGGACACTTTTGTGGCTTTTGCCGTCGCTGCTACGTGCCACTTATCGGTTGGACCACGGCCCATGTTGCACGTATAGAACGGCCGTAAACGTTTTTAGGGGCTTTGTGGCAGGCTGGCTGACTTGGCTGCTAGGCTACGACGGCTACGACAGCCGTAATGTTTCATTAGTGGTTGGTTCAGTTCTCCTTGACAGTGAATATCTAGTGGTTGGGGTATATTTCTCTGCTTGCATAAAACTGCAGCTGCACGGTGAAATTGTCCTTCAATTCAATTTGGTTTTCCCTAACCTATAGTTACGTTTTGGTTAACCCAAATGTTAACTTACTCAGTGACGAACTTATGACTTCTACATAAGTTCCTGCAATTTAAAACATTCTTCCAACAAAAAGCAATTTTACCAATAATTTAAGACCTTCATATGCGAATGAATATGTAGTCAGCACAAAAGTATGCAACATATATTATTCTTGTAACTTTAAAAAATAACTTATCAATGCTATTTCATTAAGTAAATGAATGTTATTCAGTAAGCAGTAAGTGCAGTTCTAATTGCATTGGCAAATGATCCAATTGACAATTTTGTTGCGGCAAACTTTGTTCCATAATTTATCGCAACGAGACCCTGTCGCCCCGCCCACTTACAGGGTGGCGCCACCGCCCATTTCAGCAGCACTTCAACAACAAAATATTGCGTAGCATAAAATTAGGCTGCCATCATTAAACGGGGCGGAAAGCAGAAGCAACTCTTGCCTTCTCTTAGCCAGCCCACCCAATGGGACACAAATGGCAAGGCCATCTCCACCCCCATCCCTTTGTTGACTATGGCGACTGCGACGAGGCTTGCACATTAGTTTTAATGCATGTTTCATGCGCCATTAGGCTTAATTAGTGGCATTCACCGCCCCCTCCGAGCTCAACTTAAATGTGTTTCAATGTAGCTGCAGAGGTCAAGGGTTGTGCTGGGATTTCGACCAGACGGCAGACTGCAGACTGACTGCCTGTCGTTCGGTGTGCACTATTATTATTGTCGCCCCACGACTGCGCAAGCGAGCTTTCAACTCCGCTCCTGCAGAAACGTTAAGCCCAGCGGTCTACGGGCATTCATCAGTCGTTCATTTATTTTAAGCGCCGCATACGCACGCGGAAGAAAAATTAAGATTTAATTAAGAAAAATAATAAATGCGTTTGGCCACGGGCAACGGGGAGCAGACAACAGTCCGCGCTTAAAGCAGGACCAAACAAATTGTCTCTTATGGCACGGCATGAGCCTTTCAGCCTTGGTGGAAACGAGATTTCCATCTCGACAGCCAGCTCTTCTCATCTTTCCATTTTGAAATGGTGCCGCACATCGTAAGCAACAATGCCGAATGCCAAATTTAGATGCTTCTGCCTCTGCCTCCGGCAAACGGCAGTTGATTTGTCTCGAGATTGAAGTGCTTTTTGGGTGGAGATTTGGCGGAGGTCAGACAAGTTAAGTTGGGCACTTCTGGCTCCAGAGGGTTAGGGCATCTTCCGCACAAGTAAGTAGTTCGGGGAGGAATATCTAAAATATATATTACATGCAATTTAAACTATTTAACGTTCCATTTCAAAAGTAAATCACTTTAGTTGCTGTTTTTAGTAAACATTTTTGTTAAGCCCGCAATCATTCAGGAGGAAAACAGCTTCATAGCCAACATCCCCAAATGATTGGGGTTAAAAGCTACTCCCGGACTCTCGCCTCGGAGCATGGAAATTATGTGTTGTGTTCCAGTTGATTTCGGCCAGCATCGCTGTTGATTCCAGATACTTCCGCCGAATGGCGCCAACACTTTATGGCCAGTACAGGCCGCGTCGGCTTAGGGCCCATAAACAGGCTAGTCGCCGGGCCATTGAAGCGGACAAAATGTTCGACATGTTTGCCCAGACAGCGAGGGAAGCACGAAGTTGGAATAGGAATAAATTTGAGCAAAGACAACTGAAAGTGGCCCCCAGAAACGAGACTAGTTAACTTGGCCTGAAATGGCCGAGACAGAGACTGAGGCTGAGGATTTTCGAACTGTAAAGCGGGGCATAAAAGCCAAATTAGAAGGGAAGTCAGCCAAAGTAAATAAACAAATAAAGACGACGACGACGACGACGGCGGCGACGACAAATGACAGGGAATAAGAGACGAGTCCATGTCTCCTCGTTTCGTTCCGTGTTTGCTTTATTTCGATTTTCCTTCTTTGAGGCACAATTTCGGTGCAAATTTATGGCCCACATTTCCAAAGAACATTTTTCACCTTGTAAAAGTCAAGACCGCGAAAAAACAAAATTACATAAAAGCCCGCAGAGAGCGAGGCAAATTTCCAGCGTGCGCATCCAAAGAATTATCAAAACAAACACGGCCACCACCTTCCCACTGTAAAAATCGGCATGAAAATATTCTAGAATAATAAACAGGCCCAGGAAT